CCGGAAACAGCGCACACGTCCCCCACACCTGACACATTTGGCCCGCCCCAGGCCTCTCGGGCAACCCTCCAGACGACCCGGGAGAACCCCGCGAGAGAGAGCCCGAAAACGGCCCCAGAGGTCTCCAGGCGTTCCGGCGCGCTCCCGAAACGACCCCAGAGAACCCCAAGACGGCCCACGACGACCCCAAAGAAGCCGTCATACCCCCAAAAATCGTTCCAAAACGTTCCAGGAGGCTTCCAATAGCACTCCCAAGAAGGCCCCAAGAGGCAAAATGCATTGACTGTCTTTCTGGTTTTTGGTGAATTGTGGGGTTCTCCTCTTTTCGGCTTCCCGACGCTCCAAGACGGCTGTCTTCAGGGCGTCCAAAGCCGCTTGGGAGGCTCGAAAATCGCCCCGCAATCATCCGAAAGGTCTTCCAGGCAGTCCAAGAGAGCCCCAGCCCCAGCCCCAAGACGGCACAACAGGGTTCCAAGATGGCCTAAGAAAGCCCCATGACGGCCCAAGATGGTCCCAAGACACCCTCCAAAGTACTCCAAAACGTAACCCGGTCGTTCAGGAAAACCGCGGTTGGAGGCAGGGTGGCCCGAGGAAGCCCCCAGATGCCCCCAGAAGACGCCCAGGAGGTCTCCAGAAAACTTCAAGAAAGCCTGAAAACTTCCGCGAGGCCCCCAGAGGCACTCCAAGGAGGAGCCTGCACAAAAAGAGCTGAGGAGGATTGGGAGAATACGCATGGTAGGGCGAGAATGAGGAACAAGAAACATGGAGGAAGTATCACGAGTACCATTATTGTAACGGGGATGCTGGAAAAGACAACAAGAACTTATCGCTAAATTGTCGGTTCCACCTTCCTGCCATTCCGCTTGCATACCCAATTTCAAGGACTAAGGTGCATGGCGCGAAGCTCCACTGCAGTCTTCGATCCATACATATATTCTTCACATGATGGCGACGGCGTGGCTTCAACATTTACCACGGATGCGACATGTCCGAACTTGTGATCTTTATTTTGGCGTCGGTGCCTTGGGGGAACCACAAAGTGCCCCTCGGTACGATATCGAGGTGTGGCAAAAGGGGTGGCATAAGAATCGCTCGCCAGCGAAAACCTATGTTTCGCATTGCCTACTTATGCGGTGGCGCCGTGAACAATTGCTCCACGGAACAAACTAACGAAATATCAGAAAGTGAGAGTACGGATATCTCTTGGCGGTGCACGTGATGTCTCCCGCTGGGTTCTGGATCGCCACGGTCAGGGCACAGGGCGGCCCAAAGGGCTCTCAGACAGTGGTTCTCAGAGCCCTCCGGCAAAGTACTTCGGACCCCAGAGGGCGCCTCGGCCCCCCTTTAGAGTGTGATGAACGCCCTTCGAGGTAGGGTTTGAGGGGGTCTTACGGTCGGGAACTCTTGGATAGCGTGTCGCTCCGTCGGTTCTAGCTCACCACCCTGCGGCTCGACACGTTACCCACTCCCGACTCCCAAGCGTCAACGTCCCGAGCATTCCGCAGCCTCCCGCCCCGCGGAGCGGAGCGACACGCTATCCGCTCGCAGGGCATAGCATGCCGCCGGGACCGCCGCGGCGGAACGCTAAGCAAGCAAACGATTCCAACACAGAACCCTGCAGTGTGGTGGTCTGCAGAGCCCAGACGTCGGGCTGCTCCCATTTTTCGGATGCTTGGGCCCCGAAGGTCCGGACCATTTCCCTAGGGCCAGTTTTTCGTCCTGAGTCGTTTTTCCACGCTCCCGAGGCCCGTCCAGGGCCCCCAGAGGCCGAAAACGGCCCAAAACCGCCCGCTCCAATTTTTTCGGAGTGGTGGACCTCTAGGGTATGGTGTGGTCTCCAGGGCTATGCCCCCCTTCCCACATCGGCGCGGGCCCTCGCACACCCCCCTCCCCCCCCATGGAGTGGATCTCGGCTGTTTTGGGGCGCCTGGTTCAAGCAGGTGGAGTCTCCCCCATAGGACGCACTGTCGCAAACAGACGCAACACGTTCACACGGCGTCTCTTCTCGAGGCCTGGCCCGCGGAATTCGCGCGGCAGGAGGCTCCCCCCGTCCGCCGCGTCCGGCACGGGAGCGTGGCGGTGCAGCCTGGAGAACGGACCCCTCCCCATCGGGGCTGAGACGGGGGTCAGTGCAAACGGGGGTCAGTCAGAGCGCCGGATCTTGCAGGATCCTGCAGGGCCAGGGTCGCATTGACCACTGTTTGGGTGCAGGGTCCTGCAGGATCCTGTCCTGCCAGGCCTGACTGACGATTGACCCGGGTCAGAAGATCCCGACCCCAGACCCCCCTCGAGTCATGAAAAAATCGCGACGGGAGGTGTTCCGCCATGTGCGGCGTTTGGGTGCCCTTTCCGGGCCACGGGACCGTCAGAAAACGATTCAGGACGAAAAAGTTGGTCCCGGTGAGTGGGTCGAGATTTCCGGGGTCTGATAAAAAAATCGTGACGTCGGGGGTCTGGGGCGCCGAGGAGGGTAATTAGCGGGAGGGGGGAAGGCTCCTCAGAAGCACCCTGCTTCTGACAAGGCGCGGGTCTCATCTTTGGATGCAAGGCCGACGCCTCCTAAGAAGCAGCCTCCTTCTGAGAATCCTTCCCCCCTCCCCTTGTGCGCGGTGCGGCCAATCCTGCTCCTCCTCCTCCTCCTCCTCCTCCTCCTCCTCCTCCTCCTCTATGACCTTCTCCCACCTGCGCCTCGTCGTCCTTGCCCTCGTGCTCCTCCGCCCCCTACCCCCGAGATCCGACGCCGCGGAAGAAGCATCGTCAACACAGGCTCGCGCAAGGTCACGGCCGGAGCCCCAGACCCTATGAGTTTGCTTGTTTTTTTGATTCAAGCAAGTTTACTTGCAAGGCGTTCGCGGCCCCGCCCCCCTTCCCCCCCACCCCCCTCGCCCCTCTTCAGACGAATACTAGCGTGCAAGTGCCTACGGACTTGCGTGGTTCCCGCACGTTCAGTCGTTTGCGGCTCGCCTCACGTTCAGGCCCCCCGCCTTCGTCCATGCAGTTCAACTTGCCGGAGCCTGAAGAAAGCAGGCTCTCTGCAGCACGTTTCGAGGCGCCTCGATCTGTGATGGCTCTAGGGCCTGAAAGCGGGCGAACACGCCCGTGGTGACAGAACGTGCGACGCTAGGATCTCAGGATCCCTCCTGCCTCCTTCCCCCGCCTCCCGCCCGCACGCGCCCGCACCCGAGCGCGCCGAAGGTGCAGCCTTCGCCTCCCGCTGCCCCCCCCCCCCTCTCCAATAACCTGTCAAGGGAGGAAAAGCCACCCCGACCCCCATAGTTGGCGTGTACGAAACTCACCACCCACCAAACCACCCCAACCCAACCCGAAGGCCCTAATCTGCACACCTTTCCCAATAGGGGGGGCGCCGGGGAACATTGAAAACACGCATAGGGTCTGGTAGGTAGTCATAAGCGGCCCTTGGCGTTTACTACATAGCAGAAGCCTGGCTATTCGGGCGAGCAGAAGCCCATCCAGGGTGGAAATCCCGCGAGAGGTCCAGGAGGAGGAAGAGGGAGGAGGCGAGCATTGGCAGATTCTGGGCGGTTCTCGAGCAATCTGGGGGTCCAAGGAGAGGAGGCTGAGCAAGTGGGGGAGGAGGGGAATCTGGAGGTGGAGGTGGAGGGATCGGGGGCAGGAGGAGACATAATAGGAGGAAGAGCAGGAGGAGTAGAGTGTTCACGAGGACATGGGAGGGTTTGAGGAGGATAGGGGAATATGTATGGGGAGGAGAAGGGCGCTGAGATAAGAAGAAGAAGCCTAATAAGGAAAAGGCGAAAAATAAAGACCATGGGGGATGGGCTAGGGACCGGGCAAGGGAAGAGGGGCAAAAGGGAGGAGGACCTCCTCCTCCTCCTCCTCCCCTCCCCCAGACCTCCTCTTGCACCTGCCCTTCGAGAGACCAGGAAAAACTCGGGGTCGACGGCGGGGACGTTCGCGCACACGCTGCCCGCGCAAGAACGCGCGCCGGCGCCCGGGTTTCCGGTCTTAGCGTGCCGCGCTGGCGGCCCGCGCAAGCCACCGCGTGAGACCGCCATGCCACCGTGTGTGAGTATGACCGGTTTCCCGTCGTCGCTCATCTTCCGCCCACCCTCCTCGCCCCACGCCGTCGCCGCCCCGCGTCGTCGTCCGCCGCCATTGCGGCCGCCGCCCCCTCGTCGTCGTCGTCGTCGACGCCTCCTGCGTGCCACGTGCCTCCTCCGGCAGCCATCATCTTCCGCCCACCCTCCTCACTCTCGCCGCCGTCGCCCCTCGTCGTCGTCCGCCGTTGCCGCAGCCGCTCCCCGTCGCCGTCGTCTCACGCATGCCACGTACCTCCTCATGCATGCAGCATCATCCCCCATTAGGATGCAACTCCTGGTCGAAAACTTGCTTAAGTTGGGTTAGTCCCGTTCAGTCTGGCTTAATCTTGCCTAGTATCATTGTCCGACAAGACACCCTCGACCCCATACAAGCCTTGGGGGGGGTCTAGGGGGGCCTGGGGCGTAGTGGCCCCTGGGCGGAGACCCATGGTGGGGCCATGGGCGCTTCCCGCTCTTTCCTGTTGTATGAAAAAAAGGATGAGGAGTGAGGGGGGAGGACCAATAGGGGCGGAATAGATATCGGGGGAGGGGGGGGCAGGACATGGAGGTGCTGGGAGCGGGCTTCGTCGTGCGTCGTCGTCGTCGTCGTCCTCGGTCGGTCGGTCGGTCGGTCGGTCGGTCGGTCGTCGTCGTGGTCGTCGTCGTGGTCGTGTTCGTCGTCGTCGTGGTCGTCGTCGTGGTCGTCGTCGTCGTCGATCGTCGTCGTCGTCGTCGCGGTCGTCGTCGTGGTCGTGGTCGTGGTCGTCGTCGTCGTCGTCGTGGTCGTGGTCGTCGCCGTCTCCGTCGTCGTCGTCCTCGTCGTAATCGTCGTCGTCGTCGTCGTCGTCGTCGCGGTCGCCGCCGCCGTCGTCGTCGCGTCCGTCGTCGTCGTATCCGCCCTTCCCACGTCGTCGTCGTTGCCCCGCTGTGCCGCCCTCGCTCCGCCTGCGAGCCCTTTGGGTTCAGGGCCGCGTCGCGGGCGCCAGGGGGAGGCGCTGCAAGGGCGAGCAGCCATGCCGCCCAAGGGGGTCGCCAAGGTCCCCTTCGAGCACCGCGTGCTCGCGAGGCTCCTGCTGAAGCAGGAGCGCGCGCCTCCCCCCCATTCGCGTCGTCGTCGTCGTCGTCGTCGTCCGCGCCAGGAAGTGACGTTCGACACGGTGGAGGAGGAGGTGAAGCTCAAGGCCGTGCAGAAGGTCCACGGCATCTGCCTGGACTTGTTCGCGGCCCGCCGCGCGCGCGGGGGGAGGGGGCCTGATGATGGAGGCGGGAGGGGGTGGAGGACGACGGCGGCGGCGGTGGCGACGTCGACGACGACGACGACGAATACGACGACGACGACGACGACGAGGTCCGCTCGACGACGACGACGACGACGGCGACGACGGCGACGACGACGACGACGACGACGCCCGCACGACGACGGCGGCGACGACGACGGCGACGACGACGTCAACCCGACGATAACGACGACCACGACGACGACGCCCTCCCCCCACCCGAGAGGCCCCCGACAAGATCGACACGGTGGCCGTGGTGACGAAGCGCAAGCTCGAGGACATCGCGCCGCGCCCGAGCAGCAGGAAGAAGTCAAAGCAGGTGGAGGCGGCGGTGAAGAGCATGAATGAGGATCCAGAGTTTCCGAGTGCAGTGAAACAAGTTTCAGATATTCCCCCGAGTTGGATGTTCGGAGTTTTTTGGAAGTGCACGGCCCGTGAGATTCCAGCTATCAAGATTCAGCACACGTGCAGCTCGGGGCCCCTTCCCATGCGGCACGTCGCGCAGTATCTTGCGGGTCCCGTGGCCGTAGGTATGTTCGAGCTCGCCGAACCGTCTTTCGGAGCCCCTCCCCTCCCGAAATCGGCTCGCCCTCCCCTCCGCCCCCGCCGCCCCTCTACGATTCACCCGTGATCTCCACCTTCTTCCCTCGCCCTCTCCCCCTGGCCCCCCCTCGCCATCTCTTTCTCCCTCCTCCCCCCTCTATTCCTTTGTTCCCCCTCGCCCTCTCCTTCAGCCCCTCCCCCATCGCATTCCCCATCTGCTCCTGAGCCAGGTTTGCATCCAGCTGCGCCGATCACGGCTGAGATGCGCAAAAAGGACGTGTGCGCCCGGTGGCTCATCGGTTTGATCAAGGGCCGCGCGCTGATTGACAAGGGCCGTGGCTTCTTCAATGACTGCGTCAGCGAAGATGGCGTCAGCTTCCGCAGTCCGCACTGCGTGTTCGTGCACAGGGTGGAGGAGGTCCAGCAGCAGCCACCTGCTGAGCAGGATCGTGCGCCTTGCCCGCCATCGTCGTGGTCGTCGCCGTCGTCGTCGCTGCGGCGAGGGGTGCTTCCACCCTCCATGCATCCCCCGATCCATCCCCCCTCCGCTCCTCATCGTCTTTCGTCGGCGCGAGCCTCTCCGCGCCGCCCCGCACTCCCCCCCCCCTTCCGCCTACGCTGGCGCCACAGTGCGAGGGAGGGGCGGCTGGAGACGACGGCGATGGCCCTGGCGACGGCGAGGGGCGCGGGCGACGGCGGCGACTGCAAGGACGGCGCGCGCGGCGACGTCGAAGTCGACGGCGACGACGATGACGTCCGCGACGACGGCGGCGAAGACAACGGCGACGACGTCCACGGCGACGGCGGTGACCGCGACGACGTGCAGCGACCGCGACGGCGACGACGACGATCGCCACGACGACGACGACGGCGGCGACGACGACGACGATCACGACCAACACGACTACGATGACCCGCGCCCCAATCGCCTCAGGACGCGATGGAGGGCGACCAGGCCGCGACGATCTTCAGGGAGCACCACATCTTCAACAACATCACGCAGAAGGACAAGGTGGTGGACGACGACTTCCCGACAGGCCAGCGCCGCCTCCCACCCCGACGGAGGATTATGAGGGATGATCTTGATGAGGGATGGGCTAGGTCGACGAGGGGTGCGCTCGGGCGGATGACCTCGCTCGACGAGGGATGGCCATCGTGGGGAGTGCACGTGCCGACGTAGGCTACTGGCGGGGGATGGGTAGGATCTAGGACGTCGGTATCGGCCAGGTGCTCTCCCGAGGGCTCCCGCGAGGGCGCGAAGTTACTCGCGCGTCGCGCTTCGCGCTCCTCACTCCCCTCTCCCCCTCTTCGTCCTCCTCTTCTCCCATTTGGAGGGCGGTGCGAGAGCGCGCAGTTATTCGCGCTTCGCGAAGCGCGTGGCGCGACGTTAGGGGCCCTTGTCTCCTGGCCGAGGAGGGCCGACTGGGCTCGACATCCGTAGCCTTTTCGGTTCGAGCTGCGATCTTCGCATCTCTGCGTCGCTCGACGGCCCAGTGCGGCCGCGCGACCGATCGCGCCCCCTTCGCGGCGCTTCGCGAAGCTCCATGTCGTCGCAGGGCCCGCAGGCGGACCGCGCAGGGCCCGAGGCGGCGCGGAAGGGGGCGGTCGCGGTCGCCCTCGGCGAGCCATGCAGTCAGGATCGCGTCGGCGCACGCCAAGATCGCGTCGCTGGAGCGCCAGCTCCGCGAGGCGGGGCGGTGGGATATGGGCGGGGGGCCCCCAGGAGGAAATGGCGTCGAGGATGCGGGATGGGGGTGGATGGGGGGGGGAGGGCCGACCCTAAGGATAAGGAGGGGGAGGATGGGGGTGGAGGGAGATGCCTCCTCACGTTCATTCCTCTTCCTCTTCCTCCCCCCACGTCCCCATCTTTGAAGCCATTCCTCCTCCCCTCTCCTCCTTGAGGTCCTCCTCATCTTCTTCCTCGTCCTCCCTCAACGCCCTCCCCTTACTCCTCCCGATGTGGAGGGGGAGGGGGCGGGGGTCGGTGATGGGGGAGGGGAAAGCGAGGCACTTCGCCGCATCGACGCGCTCGAGCGCCGCGTGTCGACGGTGGAGGGCGAGATTAACGTCTCGCCTGCTGCGTGCGACGGGCAGTACTACGAGTTCGAGGGGACGATCTGCGATGGGCGGCGGGAGGTCACGCGCATCGTGCGCAACGGCGGCAGGGACTCCGCGAGCTGCCAGAGCGAGTCGGACTAGATGCCCAGGCCGACGCCCAGCCCGACGTCCAGCCCGACGCCCAGCCAGACGCGTCATCATTTGGAGCTCCTGGCAAAAAAAAAAACACTCAGCACGATGATGGTGGGAGCGAGTATGAGTCACGATGGGAGGGAGGGATGACGAGGTGGGAGTGGCGATGTGGACGAGGCGGGTGGGGCGGTGATGGTGACGACGACGATGATGAAGATGACGACGAGGGGTGCATAGGGGCGCGGGCGATGACGATGATGATGAACTTGAGGGGGCGGGGGTGGACGATGCTAAGGATGAGGAGGAGGAGGAGGTCCAAGTTGCGTGCCCTCTTATCTCCCATATCGATCTCCCCCCTAACCTCCCCTATCCCACTTGCCCCCTATGCCTCCCGTCCTTCCTCACCTCCCCTGACCCCGCCCATCCCACGTATCACCCTTGCCCCTTCCCTTTCCTGCTTATCCTCCTGGCCTTCCCCCTGCTCATAATTTTCATCCTTCTCCTCGGCCCCCCCCCGTCATCCTCGGGCTCTTCGAACTCGCCCCTCGCCCGCCCAACGTCCATTCCTTCATTCCCTCACCCCGCTTCCCCCCCGTGCTCTCACAGTGAAGCTCTCCCACTCTCGCTTCTCTTGGTCCACCCTTTTTCTTTCGCGTCGTCGTCGTCGCCGAGCTGCCGCAATCGTCGTCGTGCATGCGTGTGTTTCCGCTGGCGGTGCAGTCGGGTTCTAATGGCGCGTGCTGGCGCGCGCGCCCTGCGTGCTGCGTAGCTGCTCGCACGCCTCTCGTCGCAGCCGTCGCCGTCGTCGCCCCCGCGCCCCGCCGCGGTGCCAGGCAAGCCCATCCTGGACAACTACAGCGAGGACTCGGCGCACGTGGTCATCTGCGGGAACAACCAGAAGATCTCCAAGCTGGTCGCCGAGGCCACGAAGGGGGCCAAGAGGGTGGCGGCCGCCAAGTCCGCCAAGCAGCAGGCTCAGAAGTCCGCGGAGGATTTCCTCGCGTCGCACCAGGAGCAGAAGGCGGAGGCGGTGATCTGCGTCGACGCGACTGTTGTCGACGCGTCCAAGCGCCGTCGCCGTGTATCGGCGCAGGGGGCCGTGGGTGCCTCTCTCTCTTTGGTCCCCGTGGGCGCTCCTGGCACGGCGACGTGATCGCGTCGCGAGGCGAGATCTGATCTCACGTCGGCCGTCCTGCTGCGATCGGCGGCCCGCGCCTCACGGGGCTGTTCCCATTCAGCGGGGGGCGCGCGTTTTCCGCCATCTTCGGGCTTGGAGGAAGGCGGCGCGGATCGGCCTCCCAGGAGCACGGGTCGATTTGGATCGGCTCAGTGACGCAGTTTCGAATTTCAGATTTGCTGCAGCTAGTGCGTCGCCGAGGGTCTTGCTGGAGCCACGTCGTGTCTCGATGAGTCGAGGGAGGTCGGGTACTCTGGTTCACCCCAACCTCCCGTTCAGCCACTCGTAACCAGTTCGTTGCACATGCAGGGAAGGGTGGGAGTCGGGCTGGGAGTGGGGGCATGTGAGGGCGGATGAGGAATGCGATGGGATGGGGTTTTGCGATTGCAGGGATGGCGAAAATAATGATGAGGAGTATGCGGAGACTGTCTCATTTGAGGGGTCGGGGGTTGTCCGATCCTTGGGCGCGGCTCTTGCTTGGCATATCATAGCATTCGTCGTCGGCTTGGAAGGTGCTCCAGCATGATCCTACATGCGTGCACGTGGCAGGAGTTCGGTTTGCACGCCCTGCATCGGGCGTGATCTTCTGGCGGCGCTGCGGTCACTAGCTGCTAGTGCGGAGCGCATCGGGGAGCTGAAAAGGCAGGTGGAACGTCTCGCCTCGGCCACTGGCCAGCGACCCTCGCATCCGCGGTTCGGTCGGACGCCCCCGAGTCGCGGGGCCATGCTTGTGATCGAGTGTAAGCGCGGCGCGCCAGCGCCCCCGCTTCGCTGGCACTCCCCCCGTGGGCCCCCATCTCCGCCAACCCCGTCGCCCTCCGAGCTCCGTGCCGTGCTCTCCCTTGGGCCCTTTTTCCTCCTGCACCCCGCCCACTTCATCTCATTCACGCTTCGCCCGCTACCCTCAGCGCCCGCCCTCGCCGTGCCCCCGCGGCCCTGCGAGGCGGCATCGATCGGTGGTGGCGAGGGGTGCCTTTCTCGAATGGTCGTGATCGTGCGGGTCTGCCCCTCGGTCCAGGGTCAGTCCCCTTCCCTCGCGATCGGTTGTAGTATCATGTCTTTGATCGGAGGGGCCTCGGCTGTGCGTTGCGTCGGGCCCCGCGCAGAGGGCCCTCAGGTCGTGTAATTCCCCATGGTGTGCTTGCACTCGGGATCGCGTTTCATGAGCCTGGGGTCGCAAACAATTGGGATCGTGACGCATGGCTTACATCGCAGCGGATGCCCCTGCGCCGCGTATCTTTCACGATCTAGCATGCGCCCCATCTCAAGCACGGCGCGTCGCAAACCACATGCTCTCGCATTGCATATCGCATGGGGGGGGGGGGGCGTGCACTAAGTAACCCAGTGGGGTCCACGCTGGCGTTCAT